TCTCATTCACAGATACCTGGCAATAGGGGATCACGAAGAACTGTTCTTAATTCCCGAGAGCGCAAAAGTGAAGGAAAACTGTGTAGTAGGTATTGAGCAAGGCGTGACACGATGCAGCTGGCCCACATACTATGGTGGCCCAACCCACACACACACACCATCAAACTCTGCCACTCTCTGGTTATGTAGGTAGGGAACTTCGCGCCTTGAACAAAGGAAGGGATCGTTCTAAAGCAACATCCCCCCATTACACGTGTGTTAATGTTCTTGTCCATCCACCTGCAGGCCATAAGCCACGATCGAGGTTTGGCCATACAGTTCCGTGTCCACGCCGGGGGCCACCATAGCCTAGGTGTATGTGACAACATCAGGCATGGCCACGTGAAGCTGTCGACACGGAGGATATCTGACACAGTCATGCAAGAATTACCTCATGAGATTATTCCTGTAACCTGCATCACATTCCTAACATAAAAGCCGATATGCTGTTGCCATGGTTTTGTGTCTGTTAAAAACAAAAAAGTTATATATATATATATATATATATATATATATATATATATATATATATATATATATATATATATAAAAGTAGAAAGTATGGTGACATGTACAGTATTGCTAGCATACAGGAAAGATGTAGCCTTGGCGTAGGAGTTAATTATACGTGTTTTTATTAAAATGTGCAATGATATTACCTGTGATACAGTTATCCACTCCTTTCCATTTCTTGTGATAGTTGTTATTTGTGAGTTACTCTACAACCTGTGATGCAGTGATACAACTATATCATTATAAAGTTGTGCAGCAAAACAAACTAAAATACAATGATATAGTCAGTCTCTCTCTCTCTCTCTCTCTCTCTCTCTCTCTCTCTCTCTCTCTCTCTCTCTCTCTCTCTCTCTCTCTCTCTCTCTCTCTCTCTCTTCCCCTTTTCATATACACAGGTTGATTCAGGAATAGACAACGTATTCCTGTTAGCAGGCTTAGAGCTTAGAATCCAGGCCAAACGTTGTCTTCAGCTGTCATAGCAGCTGTATTGAAGACACCTTCAACCGAGCCAAGTTATTCAACAAAATGGTTTCACAATTAGCAACCAGGCACTAGGTACATCATTCAATTAACCAGTGACATCATTTAGAAACCAACAAAACCTTCTAACACACTTAGAAACCAACACAAGCTGTAGGTTTTGATTTAGAAATAGGACAAAGGGTGCCACAGACAGGTGGCACCCTGTGGCACTAATACACATACTCTGGAGTGTACGAAGAACACATAAGATGTACAGGAGACGAACACAAACACTCATTAGCCAGACACGACATGGTAAACACAGTGATCAAGATGATCACCCTCTACACGGATGGTGATCATTTAGTTGTAAATATAAGGAAGAAAAGATCACAAGTACGTAACATTTTTTTTAAGAAAATGTTGAGCCCGTACAATAAGATGGAGCTCGCACCCCTGAACTCCTCAGGTATTGTATCATGATCAACTTGTTTAGATGCTCGAAAAGTGTTGTAAACGGTTTCATATCTTCGGTGTCTTGCAAAGGGGAAGTTGTAGGGTCGATATTATCTTCACATTTACCGCCCCAACACAACAACACTGACTTAGTCAGTGTCTACCCATGTAGACACTACCCTTACTCAACGTCTACCCCATGTAGCAGCATTCTACTTCCTATCATTTGCCCCTCTACTCAAGTCACTAACAAAAGTAAGAGCGTTTCAAAACGCTATCCACAGTGACAGAAACAGAAGCAGTCTGAAAACAAATTACATTATACCACGTTTAGAAGCAAAATAAAGAGATGTTCTGCACCATATTATGAGTGAACTGTACGACATATTCACAAGGCATTGTCTGAGAGCTAAACAAAATGATTCTAAAGATGTTATATAAAGAACAAACAAATACTGCTAGGTACAGGCAGTCTATTTAGAAGCTAAAGGCAGTACAACAATAGGAAATGTAGATGTTTATCTCTCAGAATGTTTGATAATATGTTTATTGTTTGTGATGTGTTTATACGTATGTATTAACACGATATACTGAACGGGGTGAGAATAGCTTGAGCTACCTCATCCCTTTGTGTGTATTTTACCTCAATAAACTTATTTCAATTTCAATTTCAGTACAACATTCCTTCCAACTTCTGATGACATCTCAATTAATAAATACTCTACATTCGAGTGGGCATGACAAACAATTCCACACAAAACCCTGGATAACTTAAATAATGTACATTATTACTATTAAACTGAATTAGCCTCGGCTACCATCCTCTTTTTGTCCGGTTGTGATGGTCGAGTGGTTAAGGGATCCTGTACATCAGATGCAGAGTGTTTCTGGCAGTATGGGTTCGAGTCACTTCTGGGGTGTGAGTTTTCAGTTGCATATATGCCTGGAGACCGTTCAGGCTTGTTCACATTATTACTATTATTAATAATTATGTCGTCAGTTTTAGATATACCCTTGGTGGTCAACAGACCACAAGAACGCTTGAGCTTACGCCAGTAACTTGGAGGATCGGTTAGTTAGTATGAATATCTGTGTGATATAAAAGAATCGTATTCTCATCGTGACTTTGGATTATTATGATGAGTGACGCTGTGTACTGCTGCTTAGTTGTGACCTATGTGCCTGCACTCTGCTGTTTCATCGAAGTACAAATGAACAAGGTTTTGGGAGAAAATATCCATCTGGCTCTCGACCTCTTGTAAATTTCCCCCCAAAGGATAAAAAAAAAGCCCGCTGGAAATCGGAAGAGACGAGCAAGATTCCTGGCCCTAGTGACAGGAACTTTCCGACATTTGAGCTGGCAGATATAGTCAGTTTTGATAATAGTCAACAGCTGATAAGACCACACAGATCACGAGTGATAACTGGGTCAGTATAGGGTGTTGTGTACCTTGGCTGTTTTACACAGAGAACCAACTCTACGTCCCACCGGATCATCCAGGCACTAGGCTACCCCGACCTCCGCTTATCGTAAATGTATCATCCGTTAATACCAATTTGCAATGAAGAGTTTATATAAAAAAAAGCTTCAGTGATATTTACAATTTGTGTTAGCTTATTATCTTTAATTGCCAGCGTGTGCCATACAGCCAGAGTTTGAGGCAAGGAACTGCAGCTGGCACCATGATAGGCTGGATGGTTGCCATGCTGGCTGGTAGAGTTACGTGTAGGCCGGCCGGATGACTGGCTTCTTGCATGATTGGCCAGCTGGCCAAGAAGTGGATTTCTTTGGAAGTTGTGTAGACGGATGACCAGCTGGGCAGTTGTACTGACTGATATTGGGTTGAGTAGCTGATTGGCTTGAGTAGCTTGATTGCTGTCTGGTTGGGTAGTCAGCTGAATAGGTAACTAGATAGGGAAACGAGCTGGTTGGTTAGCTATCTGACTGAGTGTCTTGCTGGGAATGGATGAGTGTCTTGCTGGGAATTTAAGTGACTTGGTACCTGACTGACTACTTTGGTAATTGGCTGGTTGATTGGGTGACTGGCTCTAGATGTAACTGAATGGCTGTCTGGATAGCTAGCTGTCTACCTTTGATGCAAGTTAGAGAGCTGGCTGACAGGCTTGGTAGCTGGCTGTGTACCTGCCTGACTTGTAGGCTGGTAGCTGGCTCTGTACCTGCCTAACTTATAGGCTGGTAGCTGGCAGTGTACCTGCCAGACTCGTAGGCTGGTAGCTGGCTGACTGGCTGGGTGGCAAGATAGATTTGATGGCTGGATAGCTAGGAGACTGGTTGTGTAGCTGGCTGGCAGGGTGTGTAGGTGGGGTGGCTGACAGGGTGTGTAGGTGGGTGGCTGGCAGGGTGTGTAGGTGGGGTGGCTGGCAGGGTGTGTAGGTGGGTGGCTGGCAGGGTGTGTAGGTGGGGTGGCTGACAGGATGTGTAGGTGGGGTGGCTGGCAGGGTGTGTAGGTGGGTGGCTGACAGGGGTGTGTAGGTGGGGTGGTTGGCAGGGGTGTGTAGGTGGGTGGCTGGCAGGGTGTGTAGGTGGGGTGGCTGACAGGGTGTGTAGGTGGGTGGCTGGCAGGGGTGTGTAGGTGGGTGGCTGGCAGGGTGTGTAGGTGGGTGGCTGGCAGGGGTGTGTAGGTGGGTGGCTGGCAGGGTGTGTAGGTGGGTGGCTGGCAGGGTGTGTAGGTGGGTGGCTGGCAGGGTGTGTAGGTGGGTGGCTGGCAGGGTGTGTAGGTGGGTGGCTGGCAGGGTGTGTAGGTGGGTGGCTGGCAGGGTGTGTAGGTGGGTGGCTGGCAGGGTGTGTAGGTGGGTGGCTGGCAGGGTGTGTAGGTGGGTGGCTGGCAGGGTGTGTAGGTGGGTGGCTGGCAGGGTGTGTAGGTGGGTGGCTGGCAGGGTGTGTAGGTGGGTGGCTGGCAGGGTGTGTAGGTGGCTGCTGGCTGGCGAGACTCATGTTGTGGCAGCATTACGTAACTGGACAATGCGACATAGGACGAATGCGTGTCGCTTCACCCACCTCTGGCTGCCACGGAAAAATCCTGGTTTGCACTCATCTTGAATTTCTTATTTTCGAGAGATGGCGTGCTCCCTCGAGGTTATATCAACATAAGTTCGAAATGTCAATGGACTCAGCGCTCTGGGGGGAGCTTAAAGCAGGTATACAATCGATATGTTTGTTTTGCTTTGGCACTGCGTATAAAGACTGTATTTAACTGATGCAATGTTTCTGCGTTTTTCTTTTTTACCCAACAGCACATTTATGCTCGTTACTGTCATTGAGGTTATAAGCAAATTCAAAAGACTGTCAGAATATTTGTAATTTAACAGTTCTTAGTAATATATTTAGAAGCTGACGATGAGAACAATGCATAATGGGGTCATTGAGTCCCTGATCCATGTACGGGCGAGCCAGACACTTGACTCCACCCAGCTATTTCATTTCCTTTGGTAACCAGGAGGCAGTTGGCCACTGGGCTGTTTCACCCTAATCCCTGCTGGCCTCAGGTGTTGACGTAGCTGTGGAAAAG